TATAAAAATGTCGCCTTCTCAAGATTCCCTCTCAACAGCTCTGAGTACGCTGCAGCAGAAGCTGAAACTCCACATAGTAGATATTATAGGTGAGTGAAAATACACCGTAAGGTTGCTCACAACCACTTTTCCTAGGAAGATAGATATATGGAAGCAGGTACCTTACAGTTCAAGGTAGTGAACATTGGGGTGTATGGTAAATGCAGGGATGCTCTCCTAAGGACTTCATTGGCCTTACTCAGACATTTGTGAAGGTTGGTAGCAAGGTACAAGCGTGCAGCAAACAACAGATTTTACAAGGGAGCAAACTATTCCACTGAAGAGTTTTGGATGGGACAGAAATGTGGGAATGAAACAATTAGATGAATCTGGAATTACATGCAGGAGGCATACATTTTTGGTGATGAAGAACGGGGATGAGAGTAGAAGATAACAGAAGGTTGAGAGAAAAATAGTGTTTGTGAACTATACCTATATCTAATTGTTCTTTCATTTTTTTTTCTATAACCTCTGTTGTTTTAAGGTAATGAGGGAATACTGGCATGCCGGCTGCTTCCATCCGTGCCCTGTCTGCTGCACTGTCGTACGTACTCAGGGATGCTGGCCTTGTGGTTCAGATCACCTTGTTCAGCTCTTTCAGATGGTCTGCTCTATCAGTGTCAAAAGGTGATGGAAGAATCTTAATAACAATAGTGCCTGCCTTAACTTAATTGGTTTTTGAAAAGCAAATGAAAGGTTTCTATAGTTGCACTGATAATTACCAAAGCTAAGTTAAGATACTGCTCTTCAGAAGTATTAAATTTTCTTCCAAATGGTGTATGTCATATGGACTTGTGGGGGAAGAATGATGACCTGACATATGCCTGCAAAAATGTGCTCAGGACTGTACAGTGACTAAGGAGTAATCCATTAAAGTATTGTTACCTGTTTGAGTGTAATGTGCGTTTCTTAATTTTATTGTAAATGACTGAAAGTATTACGCAGCTTTTGTAGATGTCAACTCTAATTTCTCATAGCAACTACTTAAATATAAAGAAAATAAATCTATTATGTGCTCAGACTTGAACACTTACCAGGATTACCTGATTATTTTGAGAACTTTTCTAAAATTGTTTTTAAACATTGCTGGCAACAAGGCACCTAACAACACACAAGTGACTTATGCAGCAACAAAATCATGCTTTAAAAATAAAATTTGAGTAACACCTCATGACCTTTGCTTCCCATTTAAGTGTTGACATCTAAGTAGGGTCTTGGTAGGAGGCGGGCATGTGAAATTGTATGGAAGCACGTTGGATATGATCTGAGGCTCTTCCTGTTTGCAGTTCTTCCTGCATCATGTTTCAGTCACACTGTTTCTTCATGGCTCTGCAGCGGTCAATGAATCTTGAGTGTGTCCAGAGATGGGTTGTGCAGATCAAGCCTGAGAGCAGTGAGCTGGAGTAGTTGGCTTGTGGATGTGTTCCCTGCCTGTCACTCTTAATCATGTGTATTTAATCTGGCTTGTATCTCCATTCATGAAGATTTATGTGGAGGGAACTCTCATTTTTATTTTCTAATTATTAATAGCTTGAGTATGACTGAGAATGACAGATGTGTGTCTACTAGCTGCAGTAAGGAATAAGAGATCTAAATCAGTCCAGCAATCATGATAAATGTTTGGATTGTCTCCTTTTCTTCCTGAAAAAACTTCAGTCTTGAAAATCCAGCAATCTTTATTTAGATGTTAAAGATCTTTAGTACTTTAAAATATTTATAATTGCTTATGTTTTTATTTTAAAACTTGAAAGGTTGTACAGACAGTACAGATGTGGTGTAAACGCATTCTACAGTAGAATTGTCTCCTTCATGTATACTAACATGAAATTGAATGCTAACAAGGAAATTCTTTTGTTATCTTTCAGTTTTATTGATTCTCACCCAATAAGCACTGGCTGTAAAGGAAAATAAAGTATTGTTTGGTAGTGTTTTGGTAAATGTTCATGAAATCACCGTAAGAATGTTAGTGTGCGCTGATGGTTTCTTTTTTGTTTAAGTCAAGCCACTTGTGTTATTACAATCAAAGCTCCTTTTTATTGCTGTTTCAGTAGTTCCTTGTTGAGAAATCTGAAGTGCGCTGATCCTGTAAAAATACTTAATGTTCTGCGTACTTTAATGTTTACTTGACACTTCGAGACAGTTTATATAAATGAAAACTGATTTATAGTGGAATAACTTCCAGCAAACTGTTTCTCTGCTGGTAAATCAGACTTATGTTACGCAATTAGACTTTTGTAATTACATGAACTGTAATGGAAGTACCTGTTTCTGGCCTTATGCATTTAAACCATTTCAGCACAGAGTTGTTCAATGCCCTACTGTTTAAAAAGTAAAAAAAAGCCTTCTGTAACTCATGTAAATGCTCTCTATGACCTTTTCCACTGGATGAATACTGTATGTTAAGCTGTAAATATTCAGTTCTAAATGTTGTGTGTACATCACATAAAGGGTTTTGCAGGATTTGTACCTGTACTAGTCTTTATTTCTAGAGTGTCCAGCACATAATTTTCTTAATCTATCACCATCTTTACCTTTCTTGTAGTTTCATAAAACTCAGTTTAATAAAACAAAAACCACACACGCACAAAAGAAGCTTGATAGTCATTAAACATTTTTGAAGTTCCTGACAATCTTTTTATTACTTTTTCTTCATACTTCTCATACTTTTCTACCAGCTGCGGGAGAGCCTGTCCCATAGCCGCCTGTGGTGTAATTGCCTGAAGTAACTAGAAAATAAAAATTAAAGATGTACAGCATTGAAGGGGCTTTCAGGGTAGGGCATAGCTGCATTACCTGAGCGTTCCCTAGGCTTCCAACCTTAGATGCTATTGTACTGGGGAAACTTGCTGTGCTAGCTCTAAGGAACAGTGCGGAGCGTAGTGTGGAGTAGAGACACCACAGCTAGGCTCTGTAGCCAGGTGGGGACTCGATTGTTCTCGTGCACACTGAGACCGATAAGCTGCACTTTTTGCTACCCTCAGCCAAGGACCTGTCTTGTTTTAACAAATGCTGTACCCTAGTGTACTTTTTGCTCGTTATAATACCAAAACACACTTCCATCCCAAAAGATACATGCCTCCAAGGTCCGATCACCCCTCACTGAGCATGTGCTCTGAATTTCTGGGAGCCTATTACTTTAAATGGAGACGGGAGAACTTTTTACCAATCATAACTGAGATATGCTTGACTAGAGCCACTCAAGCTCCACCTAGAAGATAGAAAATAATATAAATTGGCCTAAGAGAGAGGGGATGTTAGGGGAGATAACCATCCCGAGGGAATACAACATCCTTAGGACCTCCTGACTCCCGGGACCGGTCGATGGGCTGAGCCTCTCTTCCCCCTCCCTCCCATTGGGATGCCTTTGGGTGAGATTTGAACACTTGGTGATAAATCTCTCTAGAGTCTTTGATCCTTCTAATGCGTTAATTTCTAGGTTGTGCACCCATAACGCCTGTGTATTTCATGCATGCTAGCTTGCTTTTGCAGACAGTCACTATCGCCGGCAATCCAAAGAACCTGTGTACCTGTTGCTGTAATAAATCACACTTGATTGCATTGTTATAGCTCTCATTAAATGCGACTAGGGTAAGCGTGGTTATACGTTATTGGTGAATCCCTGACTGTGATAGTTCACTGTTCTGAATCCAACCAGACCCCAGACGGTTAGCACATTATAGGTGAATATCCGACCGGACCCCAGATGGTTAATGCATTATTGGTGAATCCAACTGGACCCCTAACGGTTAATGCGTTATTAGTGAAATCTGCAATTGTGGTAGTTCAGTACCCTAAATCCGACCAGGCTCATAACAGTTAATCAGCTACACCCCTTAACACGGCACCACCCGAGGCTGGCCCCCAGGCCCTGGGATGGCTGCCACCGGCACCCATGCTGCCTGAGGCCAGCCCCCTGGGCACGTGGATGGCCAGCCCCCAGGCCCCGGGATGGCCGGCCCTCGTGCCAGCTGAGGCTGGCCTTCCAGGCCCATTTTAACATGGCACCGCAGGGGCCCATTTCTCATGTAGAGCTAATGAGCAGCTGAGGTAAAGGAGCTGGGAGAAGAGAGGCATTGCACAGCGGTTTGTTGCATCAGTAGTAGTCAGCATTGCGGAGGAGGTGGGCATCAGGGCCGGCACGCTAGGGAATGTTGGTGCACTGTTTTTGCAGATGATGATGAGCCTGGCAATTGACTAAGATGTCTCTCAGTGCCTGTGCATTTCTCAAGGTGGAGAGACTTTACCATCCAGCAATCTGAGAGCTAAGTTGAGCGGCAGCTGGTATTTGCCTATCTGGGGTGGCTGCTGGGAGCCAGAGCAGCGTGAAGCCAGCTGGCTGAATGTACTTCTTGCCACGGTGAGGGCGGTTCAGGGTGGGTCACCCTCAGGCTGCTTGAGGCCGGGTCACCAGGCTAATAGAAGGAGAAGGGGGTATTTTGTAGCGTGAGTGTGTGCCAGGCAGGACGGTTCCCTTCTGTTCATCTGTCTTGTAGTGTTGCTCCTGCAGCGTGTGGCCTGAGCTATGTGCTCCCTGGGGCTTGATATCCTCCCTGCTTTTTGCACTGGACTGACTAGACAGGTGACTTGGCACAGCTACCAAAGGTCCTAAATGCTAGTTTTGTCATCATGGGTCTGATGCGAGCACTTCTTGTCTTGCAGTCGCTGCTTAAGGTGGAGATCTGTTTCAGGTCTTTTGCATCATATTTGGTTTGAGATCGCGTCTGTTTCCATCCTCACTCTTGCAGAAGTCATCTGGGTCGCATCAGGAGCTGTTGCTTGGGAATTCATTTCCTAAGTGTCTTCTTACGGGGTTTTCACTGCACGTTCTTCTGGTCTCTTGTCTTGAAGGCAGGCTTTTTATGCCTCCATCATCCCAGTTCTGGCAGTTGCTTCCATTCGCATGTCGTGACATTTGAGTCTCTCCCTGGGTCTGCTGCAGAGCACCTGTTCTGACTTGCTGTTGCCGTAGGACTTCCCTCCGGGGGTCACTTTTTCTTGTGCCTTGTGTTCTGTGTTGTGTTTGTAACGTTTGTAGAGTGCCTGTGTGTGTATGTGTTTGGTCTGGAGCTGTCCTGCCTGGCAGTGAGTGATGACAGCTAAGGTGGCAGTCCATCCTAATACATTATCCGGACTGTTTTGGCAAAGACATCTGGTGTTCCTCTGGGCGCGTACTGAAGGGCAGCTGGCACAGTCATCTCTGTGGTGTTTGCAGATGTGGAGGGTGGGAGAGCTGAGCTGCTTGTGAGCAGCTGTTTGCATAGTGCTTGAACTGGTGTGCTGGAGGAGGTTTGTTGAATCTTGAAAGCTTACAGATACGGGGTTTTGAAACTTTTATTTATTTCCCCTCCCCTGTAGAGTACAAACGTTAGGAGGAACCAGTCACAGGAAGGAGCTCCTGGGACTGTCCAGCACTCGGTAGGCAGCTCGGTGACTGGCTTGGTCTACTTCTGAGGTGCTGAGGCAAGGGGGCTGCTGTTTTGAAATGATAATATTGTAAATGGGGTCGCTTGTGTTGTTGAGGGATGGGTGCTACTGCTGGCAGCTGAATTATTATCTTCCAACTGTTTTCATTTGTTAAAGCTGAAACACGGTGTACAACATGGGACATCACACCCAGAGCTGCCTCTGGCAAGGTGAGCATGAGCAGAGGTAGCAGTTACTTTAGGGATGTGACTGTCACTGCAGTTACTTAACTACACAAAATACAGTAAAAATCCTGTTTATATTTCAGAGGTGTTGTAGCTGGCATAAGAGCAGATGGAAGCATCTGCCTCGAGGGCAGGTGAGGGGGCAGAGGTAAGGCAGCAGATGAGAGTAACTGTCCCAGCTGTGCTGTGGCTTTGGGTGCTGCCTCAGCCTATGCTTTTCTTTTTCTTTTGCAGGTGTTTCACACAGGCTCAGAGGAGCCAAGCTGCACTCTGAAGAGCAGCACGAGAAGGGCGGGGTGGTTGTGAGCTGGGTTGGAGCAGAACGGCCAAGTAGCACAAGGTGACTCTGAAAGGTGTCTGTCTCGCTTTGCGGGTGCTGTGGCAGGCTCCCCACAGAACTGGCTGAGGATTTGAGATAAGGCCAGAGAGCGACAAGGAGCAGCACGTGCAGGGATGGTTTCCAAGCGCATGCAGGTGGCTTTCTCTTCTGTTCATCAGGTGCCACAGGCAAGGTGGGCTGTGACATTAGTCGTTAGAATAGGAACAAAGCATGTCACTTGCATGCCGCAGGGCATCTGAGAAGGGTGTTTTAGCAGAAAAAGCTTGTGTGGCATGGCAGTGCCTGATGGCAGTGTGTTTCCTCAGGTGAAGAGGCGCCTGAAGCCCCATCCTATCCAGCCTGCGCACACTTATCTGAGAATGACAGCTGCTTTCCAGTAATTCAGAAAGCCACGTTACGTCTCAGCCTTGAGCATCTGGGGCTTGTGCCTGGGCTTTTGGGTCTGTCTGTAACATTTGGCACCAGCGCTAATACTTTTTTTGGTGTATGTTTAGTGTTTGGGGCATGTGTCTGGGATTTGGGACCTGTCTGGAGGCATTGGGGCTTTGTCATGGGTTTTGGAGTCTGCCTGTAGAGTTCAGGGCCTGTGATGAGGCTTTTGGGGTCTGCATGTGGTGGGGGGTTGGGGCCAGTGTCTGGGGGCGTGGGAGCTGCTTGTACACCTTTGGGATGTGCCTCTGTTGTCGACGGAAGGAAGACACAAGCACTCAATATGAGTGATCAGTATGCTTCAACTTTACTAGATAGCTCAGTCGATATATATTCGGTACAAGATAATTAGCTCATACATGTTACAAAAGCTAAGCTCATGATTGATTATTGCTATATCCTGTTAGTGCAGACAGCTATAACCACAAGTTCTCTTTTTAGAGCTAACTATAGCCCCAAGGACACTGTATTCCTTGCTCCAAGGACACTGTTCTTCTATCCCTTTTACAGCTGTCAGCTGCAAGCCTTATGCTTTACGGTTAGCCTAATCTTATACTAGCGGTGTGCGGTATTTGAGCAATTAGATGAGGACGCATCTATTGCTCAATGTTTAGGTGACCTCTACCCTCAAGCCATTCCTCTACAATTCCCCCGTTTTTATTTTGGATCAGAAAAACCTCCGATAGCTGTTCAAGCTTTCTGGTTAAGCAACTAAAGATTATTTTCGCGGCAATTATGATTAGTATGATTATTAGCAAGATGCGTAAACCTTCTCTGATCAGTCCCATAAACCAACCTCCGATATTGCCGAATAACCTCCTAAATATATCTTCAAACCAGTCATTCTCTATCGTAACCTTCTGAGTGTGAACCTTTAGCCACTTTAGCTGGTCATGGATTGATTGGCCATGATCCGAAAGATTAAAGCAACACATTCCCTCAAAGTCTTCACATCCGTGTCCTTGTGCTAATAGCAAAAATCAATAGCAGCTCTATTTTGCAGTACGGCATGCCGCAAGCTGTCCATGTCTTGTGACAATTCAGTAATTATTTCTGTTGTAACATTTGATTGCTTAACAGCCCAGCAAGCAAGCTTTCCTAAATTAGTCATAGCGTGAGCAACTGCTACTCCTGGCGCTAAAGCCGCAGCGAAAATCCTTTTTGCAGGGCCCCACAACTGCACATCATCTTTACAGTCAGACCCTAATGTCGTTAGACTACGCTTGGATCGTTTATAAATCTGCATTGCTCGAGTTAAATTTAACCATTGTTGATCGTGTAGATTAGGAGCGAAAAGTGTTAGTCGGCCTATGTAACAGGGACCCCCCATTGGGTTAGCTGGTACTCCCTGCCATGCCCTGTCCCCGCAAATTAAGAATATTCCCGGGGGTAATGCCTTAGGTCCCCGAAGACCAACCCGAGCGGTTACCCCGGCCCCGAACACAGTGACATTGTCGCTGCTGTCATTATACCCACAGTATGGTCCCTCTGGATCAAACCCATATGTCTTGCTTGTAATATTGGTCCACTGTCCTCGCTGGCCTCCAGTCCTTAGTATAAAACATGTTCGAGTCCAGTTTTGGCTGCTATTACCAACAGCCACCGAACCCAAAAGGTCTAATTCTTGCAGGTCCCAGGGCAACGTTTTATGTAATCTTTTTAGTAGTGTCACCACATTGTTTGCTGTCGAATCATTCTTACAAATCAGATTCTCAATTGTTCCATCTCCGGTAAACTTAGTGCCATTACAATAATAGTAAAAGGAACCCGCGCTTACATTAACATATTCTTTGAACAATGATTGTAACTCCGTAGGATCTCCAATGGGGACCCCAAAAAGACAGGTTCAGAAGGGGTCTCTGGCAGTAGCCAGGGACAGACAAAATGCCGATTGACCTGTTTGATTAGCCCAAGTGACCCACATATTGTCATGTGGACTGATCTTTGTTATGGTGTGTACTCTGGTGGCCATTAGTATCAAGCCCAGCATCGTCGCACTGATCATTCTTCTCTCGATCATGTTGGGGTCCTCTTTCTGCTGTTCCTTCTTCGACGGCGGGTCTCACGAAGCGGCTAGGGACCCAGACAGGACCTGTGGGGGAAGAGACACACACATAACCCCTACCTATATAAATTACGTCGACTGGCCCTAGCCATTGACCTGTTTTCATGTCTCGATATCTAACTCTCATGCTTTGATTATTATTCTTTCGGTCCACCAAGTGGTGACGAATTGCAGGTGGCTCATCATCCTCACCAAATATGCACAGGTAGTTTAATACAAATAATACTTTGTCTATCCTTTCCCTAGCATCTGTGATCTCCTTAAATTTCTCTAAATATTGTTTTAGCGTTCCATTGGCTCTTTCTACAATGGCCTGTCCTGTTGGAGAATATGGTATGCCCGTAATATGTTTGATATTCCATAAGTCCATAAAATTTTTGGTCGCTCCACTTGTATATGCAGGTCCGTTATCTGTCTTTATTGTTTCAGGCACACCCATCACAGCAAAACAGCTCGTAAGGTGTCTGCGCACGTCCCTAGCTCTTTCCCCTGATTGCGGGGTAGCCCAAATCATATGGCTATAGGTATCAATTGTAACATGTAAGTATTTTAATCTTCCGAAGCTGGCAATGTGTGTAACATCCATTTGCCAAACTTCGTTAACCTTTAGTCCTCGGGGGTTCACCCCTGTTCCCAACCCTGCTCCTGCATTATGGTGGCTGCATATTGGGCAGGACTTTACTATAGCTTGCGCATCGGCTCTTGATATTCGATACGCTTTGGCTAGCCCTTTGGCATTTTGGTGGAATATTGCGTGTGCCTCACGCGCCCTGCAAAAGGGTGACAACGGCACTTCTCTAGTGACACTTGCGACCAGTCTGTCTGCCCGTGCATTGCCCTCTCCCAGGCCTTCCTCCCACTGATGGCTTCTAATGTGAATCATGGCATAAGGCTCCGTTCTCTGTTCAATAGCGTGTTGCAGGCTAATTAACAATTCTGCTAGTCGTTCATTTTTAACATCCCGGAGGCTTGCGTCTTCGATGCGATTAACAATTCCCACCACGTAGAGGGAGTCAGAAATCACGTTCAGCGGGGCATCCTTCCATTTCACAAAAGCCCAGACCACTGCAAACAATTCCAATGTTTGCAGAGAATCCTTTTGCTGTGCTTGTAAAATCTGATGTCTCCAAGTTTGTTCTTCTTTCCAGGTTATTGCAGCAGTTCGTGATCGTTTTCCTGCATCCGTAAAAACTGTAACTGCATTCTCGAGCGGTATTGGTGATCTTTTCGGTATTACCAACCAATTTTGATTTTGCATCCATGCTAGTGTTGTTGATGGTAATGGTTTTGCTATTATCTCTGCTCCATCCTGTAGCAATGCTGCTTGTAAGTCCGAGGAATTTCGTAGAAACCATTCCAAGTCATTAGGCTTGATAGGTAGCCAGATAGCATTCGGTGGGGCACCATCTATTTGTAGTATACGTTCTCTTCCCCTTTTTATTAATTCTGCTAGGGTCAAAATTTTTTCTTGGATTGTTCTTCTTGGCTGTAATGGCGGTGCTATCCATTCTAGCACTCTTACCACTGGCCCCTTTTCCCCCGCTTTTATTTTTTGTTGCGTTATAGCTCCCATTAGGTATTGAGGTCCGCATAGTATTGTGAGGTCAAGGGGCTGATTTTCTATGCGTCGATGGGTGACATGCGTTGTAATCATAGATGCAATATCCTGTATGATTTTCTGTTGATCCTCTGACACCGTAACGGATGTCGCTAGGTCTGTGCCCCTTAGCAAAGGTCTTAATGCGTTTAGCAGTTCATTCGGAATTCCAACGACTGGTCGTAGCCACTGTAAATCCCCCATTAGTTTTTGGGCATCGTTGAGAGTTCTAATGTCCGCTGTGAGTGTTAATTTTTGTGGTTGAATTTTTGTTTCAGTGATCTGCCAGCCCAGGTATTTCCATGGGCTTGATTCCTGTATCTTTTCCGGGGCTATTACCAATCCGGCCCAGTTTTAACTGTTCTGTCAGTTTGGATTTTTGCTGCAACGTAAACGGCGATGGTTGTGCTAGCAATATATCATCCATGTAATGGTATATTATCGTCTTATCCCATTGTTTACGTATTGGTTGGAGAGCTGCATCCACATATAACTGACACAGCGTGGGCGAATTTCGCATCCCTTGTGGTAATACAGTCCATTCAAATCGCTGGTCCGGCCCTTCTCGATTTATAGCAGGCAGTGTAAATGCAAATCTCTGCTTGTCGCTCTCGTGGAGTTTAATAGTGAAAAAGCAGTCCTTCAAGTCTATGATTAACAATCGCCATCCTTCAGGAATCATGGCAGGATTAGGTAGTCCTGGTTGCAGTGCGCCCATGTTATACATTTGTTTATTAACTGCACGTAAGTCATGTAACAGTCTGTACTTTCCGGATTTCTTCTTTATTACAAAAATCGGAGTATTCCAGGGGCTGGTAGATAATTGTAAGTGTCCTTGCAGGTACTGCTCCTTTATCAGTTCATGTGCCTGTATCAGACTTTCCCTTTTTAAAGGCCACTGCTCCACCCAAACAGGCTCCTCAGTTTTCCACCTGATAGGGATCGGGAAAGTCCAAGCAATGGCCGCATCTATAAAGGGCAGGCATTCATGTGATCAGTGGTTAACACCACTCCCATTTGTGCTAGGATGTCGCGACCTACCAGGGCATGCACTCCATCCGGGAGCGGTAATATAGAGACTGTACATTCCACTGTTTTGTCCCCCAGTGTCCATTGTAGGGGTGGGGATCGAGCAAAAGTCATTCCGCCGACCCCGCTGATGGTTGTACTTGTCTCGACTGTTGGCCAGTGCTGAGGCCAGTTCTCTGTGCTGATGATTGATATATCAGCCCCAGTATCCAATAGGGCGTTGACTCTTATAGTTTCCCCATTGTATTTAAGGGTGACAGGCCTTCGTGGTCTTTGCTGTAGTCCCACCGTTAGCATGGCCATTCCACCTGTGGATCCAAATGCTCCTTTGTTGCGCGGCGCTTCTCTTGCAGGTGGAACTGCTGGC